CGTGGCGCGCGGGCATGTGGTTCGGTGCACGCCATGCGTGCTGTACGTGCGCGCGTGGTGTGTTAATGTGGGCGCATGTGCGTGTGTATGTGGGCGCGTGCGTGTGTACGTACGCGCCAGTGGTACATGTCTGTACGCGCCGTGTCTATGTGTGTACGCGCGTGTACATGTCTCTACGCGGCGCTGTCATATGTGTTTTACCGTTAAGTCTACAATTTTGGCCCATCCATACACACACCGTAGCCCAGCACACACCTCCCCCTACATCCCTAAAAAAATTTAAAAAATAATAAAAAATAAATTAATTTCAATTATCTTAAACATAAGGATAGATCGGTACCCATCCCTGTGGGTTTCGGACTAGTGGTGTTTTCACACCACCACACACACACACACACACACACACACACACACACACACACACACACACACACACACACACACACACACACACATACATACATCTGATAATAACTTATCTTACAATGAAAAAAAGTTTTTACATTTGGGGTTAAACAAAATTTTTACATTTGTGGTTGACATGTTATGACATTTGTGGTTATTTTTACATTTGTGGTTGACATGTTATGACATTTGTGGTTATTTTTACATTTGTGGTTGATACATTTGTGGGCCCCACAGACCCCAGGTCATGAATAATATTTAAGAAGGGTCTATATACAGTCTGAATTGACGCCCGAGCATCAAGTGATGATGGGGCAGAATATCAACCGCTACTACTAGTATACCGATAAATACTAGCCTACTGCTGTATATAAGCAGTATAATGAGTGTATTTTCAATGCGTTTATATAGGATTGTACATAGCCATAATGCTGGCGGTTGGCAGTTGACGAGGGGCGGGATTACGAGGCTAAATTACGTACAAATAGATCCAAACGATCTGTACATTGGCATTTTCCTGGCGATAAGTGAGGTTGCATGGCGGTATTACGAGGGGCGGTATAACGAGGTTTTACCGTAGTCTGGAATTTTGCACGCATCCACACACCTAGCTCCCCGTCCACACACACCTCCCCCTACATCCCCCCAAAAAATTTCAATTAAAAAATAAATAAAATTGGAATTTAATATAAAATTAAAATTAAAAATTAAAATAAAAAATTAAAATAAAAAATTAAAATAAAAAATTAAAATAAAAAATAAAAAATAAAAATAAAAAATTAAAATAAAAATAAAAATAAAAATTAATTAATTAATTAATTAAAAAATAATTAATTAATTAATTAAACATTAGGTTTTTAGGGATCGATACCCCATCCCCTGTGGGTTTTCGGACTAGTGGGCTTTCGGACTAGTGGGCTTTCGGACTATTGGGCCGTCGGACTAGCGAGCAGTCACCCAGTAGTATGAGAGGAAGCGTGATTAGGGGAATGTGTTTGAACAGTTACGTTTGATGATGTTGCAGTGTATTATAACCTCGTGTCAATGCCTATTGACCTCGCCTATTGCCTATTGCCTATTGCCTATTGCCTATTGCCTATTGCCTATAAACCTCGTGTCGTGTCGTGTGTGGCCAGGAATGGGAGAGAGGGGGAAGAGGGGAGAGAGAAAGAGAGAGATAGAGAACCCGGAGGAGGAGGAGGAGGAAAGTAGGCAGTCACATGCAGTTCCCCCGGCTTATACAAGACACAGTGTGAAGTAGAGTGCGCAGCTCTTCTTACGTACAATATATTTGTTGTAATCGCCAACCGTTGCTGTAATCGTGGCATGCAATCTGTGAAATACATTGTGCATTCCTAAAACTGCACAGTGCGGACCAGATTGCAATTAATGTGAAGGGTTCACACAGCGTGATTCGTCAACGATATGACCTTGTGAACAGCCGAAATTATATTTCCAGTTCACAGTTCACCTTCAACTTTCTAGTGGAAATATCTTAAAATGTCGATTGTAACAGCACGGATAATATGAATAACATTTCTCCACGCACGTGTAGCCAACATGAATCGGTTTTACACTGACGATTTTATGCAGGCAAGATGACGCTTTTCTTCTTTCTACCAACCTTGCTATTTATGTTCAAAGCTCTTACGTTATCGACCGCGAGGCGGCAAACGTTTCAACACTTGACCCGGAGGGACACACCCCTGATTGCTGTTCTCTAATTCGCCACTTGGCAAAAAACGTCCAACTCGCCTACACCGAGTTGGCGAAATTATGACATGTTCTAATCTCCCAACTCGCTGCTATCGATCGGTTGGACGTGCGACTTTTGCGTTTACACTGCCGATTGTCAGTTGCCAAATTGCCGTATTCCAAAGTTCGTACAATTCGGCAACTCAAAATCGTCAGTGTAAACCTAGCTTAATGGTGATCAACTCAGGTGTAGCCAGAATAGTGTTTGCCACGAATGACGGCGATTCCAAGAGAAACGCTTTGCGTGTAAGCTGTCAGCAAATATCAGTCAACACGGAAGAACTGAAAATGATGAATAGTGATCGGTAGCTATACTTGACGGGAGGCGGTTATTCTCAGTACGCGGGATTGGACCAGTTTAATTATCGTGGAAGCGAGAAATACCAAATTTAATTTTTTTGTGATTAGAGAATAAAAACCAACCGAACAAGCCTAAATTTAGCAAAATCAACCTGCAAAAGCAAAAGCAAAGCAAATCTGTTACCTGGGAAACTAGGAATGGACCCCCACCCCCTCATGAACAAATGCAAGCTTCTAGAGGAACACGATAATACACCACTGATCTTTTGAAACGCGTAATTCTAGGGGTATATATATATATCAAGAGCTAATAATACCTAGAGTGTACAACGGAAAAACGGGGAAATAGTGCTATTTCACGACAACATTATTCTACTTTGCCTGCGAGTCTATAATAATTTCATGGTATTGCATTAAGCA